ACAGAATTTCCTGTGGAATGTCAATCCTGTTTCTAATCCTGTAAATCTTGGTGATGAAGATGGAACTTTACCCAGAGATTTAGCTTTTCTCTTCATGGTCTAGTCATTAGGAGTCCCATTAGACACCATACCTTTTCTCTTCAGGAAAATGAAAGATAATATCAAGCACAAATAAATTTCATTCACAAACACTTATTGAGGATCTGCTATCTGCAAGGCACTGTGCTAGACACATAGGGATATGAAAATAGAATAATTAAAGCATAGACATTCTCTTTAAAATATCAGAGCAGTAGTATTTCATAGCTTTCAAACTTTGTAATGACAATTATTTTAAATATCCTTAGAAGTGGGGGGTGGGGGTGGTGCTCTTGAAATTGAAAACAATACCACCTTTGTTCTCAAGTCCAGATTTGTCAGCCTGGGATTCAAGGTCTCCATTCAGATCCTCTTTTATACCTCGTATCTCTTTTGAGTTTTTTTTTTCCTTTACCTCAGCTGAGCCAGCCTGCTTGCCAGTCCCTGCACACAACTAACTCTTGCTTCTGTGCCTCTGCTTGACTAATTCTTCTGCTACTGGGATTCCTTTCTCCCTGTGAATCCATGTCCATCACTGCCATTACAGTCTGGCCCCTGAGTCCACCTACTGCAGGGAGCCTGTGGTCAGCATCCCTGTCTCCTCCTGTGTCCCTCCCACATGTGCATAGCCCATATAACTGGTGAAGGAATACTTCTGTGGTGTTCATTAAAGCTTCCCATTCTCTGTCCACATCATGCTGATCTAGATACAATAGATTGCAAATGAAATAGTCTGAGATTATAATTGAAACAGTCCAATATAACCAGATCATTTACCAAGCCTTTTAGGAGTGAGTCTCTGTATCAGATATTTCATTTTTGATATTTGTGGGCTGCTAGTTGAAGGATAGAGGAAGAAGATTAGTAAAGTTAGGATGGGGGTATGAATAAGCCTTGGATCCATAAGAACAAACAGTCACACATCTGTAAATGATCCTCTCCTACTCCCAGACAGGACAAGAAATCTCCTTTAAACCAATTTCAAATACAGTAAGGGTGTGTTGACAAATTTTCAAGTTTAAGGAAAGCAGGGCTCTGCCTGTTAATCATCTCAAGCTTGTTGATCTGCTGTTCTGTAATTCTTTCAATATTGTTTAATGTGTGTGTGTTTTATCTTCTGAACTGACTAAAAGCTTCTTGAGGACAGGGACCATGTCTTTTATTTACCTCTGCATATTCTTCCCCCACTTAATTCCTAACTAGCATGGGAAAACCTTCTGTAAGCACCTAAGGACAGGAACTGCAATTTGTGGGTTCTAATTACACTCCAGACTAATGTTATACTACACACTTTGTATGTATTATAGCCTTTTGCCCTCATCACAACTTAGTGTGAATTATGTGTTCCTGTCCTAATGCTACAGATAAGGAAAATGGAATCCATCGAGTTCATGGTCTTACAGCTAGTGACTGGTGGATCCAGAATTAGAGCACAGGTCCATCTGACTCCAAAACCTATATGTGCTTTCCACTATACCACGATAATAACAACAAATATTTGTTCTTCACAATTCACCGCTCTTTGGTCTACATTATTATTATTACTCCTCCTCCTCCTCCTGTTACTCCTTACGTCTTCACTAGTCAGTAGGTACAGCCAGGATTATCATGACCCCCATTTTACTGGTAGGGAAACTGAGACTCAGAGGCTTGCCCAAGATCACACCAGCTGGTAAGTGGAGGAGAATCAGGACTTCAAACAGACTTCCTGACTCCAGATCTTTTGTTTCTTTCTATGACATCACTTTGCGGCCTTAATTCATTTGCACAGTTCATGACTGTATGGCCAGTTTTCACTGACGCTTGTCCTACAGAAGTGTCAATGATCCCAGGCATTGCATAGAGCCATGTGGAAAATAAAATTCATGCCTTCAGAGGAGCTTCCGTTTTAATGAGGGTTGATACAAAGCACCCAGAAAGTAGACACTTAAAAATAGTTTACAAGAAAGAATTAAAATACGGGGCCCATTGTTCCACAGTGAAATCATAATTTGGCCATAAAATTAATATTTTAAATTGTTTCCATAATTGGATTAGGGAGCAGGAATAAAGCTGATAAACTTCTTTGAAAATGTTCCTCCTGGGTTTAGATGAGAAAGTGCTAGATACTTCATACCAGTTAGTAGCTAGCCCCAGAATCATCTTTTTATCAAAGAGATGCAATAGTGTTAGTCTCAGGAGTGATGGTATATCCACCCAACAATTTACCACTCGATAGACTCTCTCTAGTCCCATCTGCCAATCCTACTTTTACCTGTCCCTACCCCACACTTCGTTGTGCCCTCAGTGTTTCATTCCTAGCAGGTTCTCCCTCTTCTCCTTTTGTATCAGTTGTTAATATGTAGTGTCCAATATCACAAAGTCCTCTAGCATAATCAGAACTAGGAATTTAAAATACAGATATGTAATTATGTCAGTGCTAGAGAGAAGTTTTAATGGAAACAGATTGTTTCTAGCTGTCCACTGAACATTTCAACCTGGTTGTCATGTAGGTATGTTCTTCAGGTCCTAAAATATGTGAGCATCTTCCCACCAAATCTCCATCTCCTATGTCCTGGCCCCAGTGAATAGAATCACCATCCACTTGGTCATCAGAGCTGGAACAACAGGAACTCTCTACTTACTACTCTTCTTCACCAACCCCTTGTCCTACCAGTGAGTCGTGACATCTACCTCAGAAATGTTGCCTTTTCTTCCCACAACCTCAGATTTCATCCAGCTCTGTCTCCTTTCCCACACACTATTATCATGAACCCTAATGACTTGTCCATCTGCCACCAATTCCCATGTGTCTGTCATGCTGTGCCAGAGGTACCTTCTTATAAAACAATCCTAATCAAACACTCTTTACAGGGTAAAATCTAAACTCCTTATTGTGGCATTTAAGACATTTTTTACTATTGCATCCCAAACTACCCTCGCAGCCTTACCTCCTGCCCCTCCTTCATCGAACCTCCCAATTCCCCAAACACTGGGCCCTTTCCCAGCTTCATGAGAGCACAGAGAAAAGATGAGCTGACACAATCCAAAAAGGTCTACAGAATCACATAAGTCAGTGGGGCCATTCAGAGCTCTTTACAGTCTCCTTTGTCTGAAATGCTCTGTGCCCTCTGCCTAGTGAAGGACCAGTTACTGATCCCTCACTTGGCATTGCCTCCCCCAGGCAGCTTGGTCAGTACTTCATCTCAGGAGCTGCCACAGTTCTTTGTGCATAATTCTCTGACAGCATTTACCCCATTATGCTCCAAATGATTTTTTTTATAGTTTTGTTTTGCCTGCTCCTCAAAGGCAGGAGGTATACCCCATCTTCCTTTTCTTCTTAGTATGTGACATAGTTCCTGTCACATAGTAACTGAACAGATGTTGAAGACATGAACTCAGTGTGCTCCTCCAATGCAGTTAGGGCAATAATCCAGATGTAGTGGGCTGCAAAGATTACTGGACTAGGATTCAGGAGACCCATGTCCCAGGTCCAGCCCTGCCACTAGATAAGTGACCTTGGGTGAGTCATTCAGTCTCCTTTATTAAAAAGGGGGTTGGACTAAATGATCTGTAAGACCCCTTCCAACTTAAAGTTCTATGATTCTGACCCCATTTCTTGGATTGGGAAACATATTTCCTCCCTCATAATGTTCAGGAGCCTCAACTTAGCCTGACAGATGTTCACATTCCCCAAACAAAATTTTCAGACACTTCAAAGTAGTCTACTGGAGCTAGTCAGAGCTCTTCATTAGGCTCCTGTTGGCTTATCCATTGACCACTGAGCTGTTCTCACTCCTCCCCAGGAGGTTTCACTGTGTCTGTAACACCATTACACTACTATGTGGCTGCACCTTCCCAGGAGGGAGCCCTTCTTTCTGCTGGCCTAAGGGACAACTGTGAGGAGGGAGTCATTTCCCTTCCATCCAGATCCCACCAACATTATAGCTGCTGCCATGTGGATTTTTGGTTATGGACATGTTTTTTTTGGGGGGGTGTAATGCCCATTTCTGTGATAAATAAGTTTTAAGCAGTTCATGGGGCTCTTCAAGGCCACTCTTAAGTGCACCGCTGACCTTTTTAGGGATGGGAGGACTGAAGTTAGCAACTCAACAGGTACATTCACCATAATCTCCATGTAATAAATAAGAGCCTATGAAAAGATTAAATAAATCTTTCCTAATGCTTTTTGATTGGCTTAATCAATAATTAATCATCTTTAGATGAGGCTGTAACTTGTGGAGTAGATATAATTGGATTAGCGGAAAAGCTGCAGTTGGGGAGCTTTGAAGAGATTAAAATGGCTGTCAATCCCATAATTAAACTGCCACAAACAAAAGCAATGGTGTTTTTTAAAAAGGAGGAGGAGGAAAGAAAAGAGTGAAAGAGAAAGAAGGAAAGAAAAGTCGGGGAGAGAGTTGGGGAAGGCCAACTAATTTGAAATGAATCAACAAGTACTTAGTATCACTAGAGATAGAGGCAAAATCAAAACGACAGATTTATTCCATTGAATGAAGTGTGTGCATATCAAATCAGCCATTTAATTGTATGCTCCAACCACTGGGGCAGGTGAAATTTTGGCAGCTTCAACTTCTCTAAAACAAAACCAATCCACAAAAGGAAAAAAAAAAAAAAGTTGATTATTCAAAACAGAAGAGACCTGCTCCTTGTCCTGAGCCCATTTAGACCTTGACTTTTCATACTTTTAATTGGCTTAGTAGGTTTGGCCTGTGTGAATGAAGCCTTTTATCTCCCTCTTTTTCTTTCCATGCCCCTTTCATCTTTCCTATTACAAACACACAGAGAGAGCTCAAGGGAAAATACTTTGGTTTTTAAAGACTTTTCTTTTTAAAAGGATGTGGATTTGGGTGGTGCGGGAGGGGTCTGTGTGTGATGCTGGTGAATACTTTTTTTCTTTCTCTCTCTTTTATCTCTTTTTCTAGAGAGGAGTTGCTTAAACCAATGGGACTAAAACCTGATGGGACAATAACGCCTTTGGAGGAAGCACTCAACCAGTACTCTGTCATCGAAGAGACCAGCTCTGACACAGACTAAAAGCATCACCTGCTCAACTCTCAATATTGCTTTATCAGCATCTTTTCTCTGTAGCTCCAGGGGAATCTTTTCTCTAAAACATTTATGCCCTTGCTTTGGCTAGAAACACATTAACTGGTTTACTCATTGAGAATCCAGCATATTTAAGAGGTGACCCTGTGTTTTTTGCGATATTGAGGCATTTATACAGAGCTGCAGTTAGACGGAGTTACAGGGGCTAGAAGCAGAAAAAAAAAATTCCATTTCATCAGGATGGAACTGAAGGATTTTATTTTATAATGCGGCCCTGATTGAATCTGGCAATTCTTTTTGCCAAGATTCTTAGCAGAAGATTTAGCCATGTCCTTCCCCTCACTGGTGTGAGTGGCCCCTTCTCAATCTCTCCAGCAGCCAGAGTCATGTGAGAAGCAGAATGAGCTGGTAAATAAAGGCCCTGAGCAAGTGACTTCTTAGATCAGAACTGACTAAATGGAAGCCTAGCAGCTGCTCCATAAACCTAGCCCCATTCTTCATATCAATTTTGTATAAATATATAGAAACACACACACAGCCTCAGACTTACAAACTGATTATATTCTAAAAGTTTGTATGTCACTTAGCTAAAACTTCAGAATACATTTCTCTCCCTATAAAAAGTTATAAATGATGGTTTAGTTCTCAGGCAGCTACAAATGCCTATTTATTCCCTCATGTACCTAAACACTAGTACCATAGAACTGAACCATCATCTGTATCAGTGCATGGGGAGTCTGCATTCTGAGGTCTCACCCGGGGTGCCAGGAACACACACATCCTCCATCCCAGCAGAAAGAATGGAGACTCCCTTAGTAATGGGAGTTTTTTCGTGGCCTCTGCTTGGGGTGGGGGAGTCAGAAGCACCCATTTGTACATATAGGTCATTCATACATCATGTTTTAAATTGGGGATTATGTGTGTGCTGGTGTGTGTGTGTATTCTACCTTTCTACCATATGTGATCAGTTTAATAGTAACTTTATTTATTTAAAAAAAAAAAGAAACACAATTAATTACTGTTAAACTGATAAAGGCTGTTTATTTTTACTTTTAGAATTGGTCCTATGAAGAAGTAGAAACTGAATCATGCAATAGACAGTGGGCCTAGCTGATCAGTGGCTAAAGTTGAAAAGGGGTTGGTTTCCTGTATATATATGTATGTATATACACATGTACATACATTCATATATATACATATAAACATAATGTGCTTAACCACTGCCTTTTAAAAATTTAAATAAAACATTGGGGTTGATTCAATTTAGCCATCTATGTGTGTTTCTTTATAGATCCATGGGCTAAACAATGCTACTTCACAGTTTGTGCTTTTTAAAAGTGTTTTTACATCCATTCTCTCATTTATAATAGCCTTTTTAAGGATAGGTAAAGTACATGGAATGTTAGTGAAAAGGTCATTTATCCAGAAGTTATTTCTCTGGAAAACAAAAAAAATCAGGAATTGAGTTTTAAAAGGCCTTCCAGCTGCCAGAAGAGATGTCACAAAGTTTCTTACAACTTATGGGAGAGATCTTCAAGAATATCACTCTTAGGCTCTGTACTGAAATTTGCATACGCTTCCAACATGTTTTGTTAGCTGGCTTTGAAGCTCACTAAAAAAAAAATGGCAAAGAAAGAGTCTGCTAGGTTGAAGGCAGGCATACTGAAAGAAGAAAAAAGCCAACTAAAACTAGTTTGTGAGATGAGAAGAATAAACCATTCAAGACAGCAAATCGGGGACTATCTACTTACCAAAGGATACTCTAGTTGACCCAGAAAATGTGTACAACAGTATGGCCTATAGACTAATTCTCATAATGAATTTAAAAGAAGCAGTTACATCCAGAATATTTTATAAAAGGCTAAGAAGAAGACAATACATGTTAGAATTTCCTCCAAAATATTTGAGGGAAAGATTTTGAGTGACCCAGGTTTTAACTAACAGCAAATAAAATGAAATGGGCAATTCATAATTTTAGATTAAGTGAAAAAAAGTTTAGAAAAAATTTAAGTATTTTTGTTATTTCATTCTACAAATGCATTTTTAAAGTATTTTTATAATTTCTATAATCAAATAGCTTTGGCATGCATGTCAGCTTACCTACATGCAGATGTGTTTAATGAAATGCCATCTTACTGGCTTTCTTTACACAGTGTTTCCACAGTCCTGTTTAAGTAGCTGTGCACTTCTGCTTTCAGTGAGTTCTGTTTCATTTTGCATTTCTCTGCACTGGGCACTAAGCTTTGTTTTTGAAAAGAGACAACTTGCGGGGAAGAAGAAGAGAGTGACTTCACCTGGCACTCGGAAAGAACTAATATCTGTTAAGTGCTTACTATATCCTGGGCTTTTTATGTATGTTATCTCATGTAACCTCACCTTATCTCATATGAAAGATCCTCTCCAGAAAGCTTGTGAAAGTTACCCCATGTCACAGCAAGGAAGAGTCCAACTCTGGTGGCCTGATTCCCAGCACCACTCCTTTTCCCCCAGCACACTTGGGCCCACACTGTGCCTCCTTAGGCTCTGAAATGCTGGGAACCAGAGTGGTATGAGGAGGGTGGTCATTCTCAGGCCATTTTAAGCAATAACTATTTCAGCAGAACTAGTTAAGTTTTTAAGCAGGGAAATGACCTGGAGTGGAAGTATGAGTGGGGAAAATCCAGTACTTGCTTGGTCAGTACTGGATTTCCAAGAAAGACCTGGAATCCTTTAGAATAGGCTAGGGACCAAGGCTGCAGGCTGGTCCCTCTGCCCCAACTCTCCTGACCTTGGAACCAGGGTACGGAGGCATGTGTCCTAAAATAAAGCATTTGAGCTGCTGCTACAGAGGAACGATCATCAGATATTGTGACGCTTTCAGATGCCCAATAGTCCTGGGAGGCAGGCAGGGCAGGTGTTATTATCCCTCCTTTATAAATGAGGACACAGACTGAGGCAGTACAAGTGACTCTAAACACCCCCTTAGTGCCACATCAGTCTTACCACCTCCCAGGACTAGGCGTCACCTGTATTGACCCCCTCTTCCCCTCTGATTATAAAAGTAATATATGTTCATTGTGGAAAGTTTGGAAAATGCAGAAAATAATTTACCCCAAATCCCACCATCCTGAAATCACTGTTAATGTTTTAGTGTATTTCCTTCCTGTATTTTTTCTATGCATATATAATTTATTTTACTACAAGATTGGGATCATGCTGTATTTACATATTTGTATCCTGCTTTCTTTAACATGTTGTGAGCATTTTCCCATGCCAATAAATATTCTTCAAAAGTTAATGGCTATATGATATTCCATTATATGAATTGTGGCAGACACTGCTAGTTCCCTTCCCAATATTATTTCTAACAGAAGACATCATGACTTCCACCACGCCCATCCAAAAAAAAAAAAAAAAAAAAAAAAAAAAGGTGGTGCCTGCTGCCTTTCTAGAAGCCAGCATGAGTTGTTACCCCTGGAAAGCAGCAGGAACTAGGGGTGGCACCAGGAGGAGCAGACTTGCTTTGCCATACAGCACCAGTCTTACAGAAGCCTTGGCAGCACAAGTCAGAACAACTTGATTCAAGTGCCCAGATTACTAGTTTTAGTCAAGGAAAATTATTTAAAGGGAGCCAGGCAACTTAGAAAAGTCTGCATTAAAAATTTTAAAAAAAGATGTCAACCATGCTTAGTGTTTAGTCTAGTTATTGGCATTAGTTTTCTTGGAGATACCATTCATTGCAATTCCGGAAGTGGAGGAGGACACAGGGATAGGGAGTGCTGTGTTACTCTTAGGAAAAGTAAGGTAATACATGTCAGAATTGGTATGTGACAAGCACAATATGGAGAAAGAACAAACTTGTAGGAACACATCATGGGTGAGGAAGGGAGATATTTATAGCAATCATGAGAAGGTTTAAGGAAAGGGACAGGTTTCTAGAGAAGATCTGAAGTGGTGTGACTCATGCACTGTGCCGAGTCCCTGCATCAGGTCTAAGAAACATCAAAGAATGTCAGAGCTGCCTTTCTTAAAGAGGAGGAGTTTGGAGATAATGAAACCTACATGGCCTGAATTGTAGACAATGAACATAACTCTCTCATGCATCTAGAACAGTATAAGTTATGTAACATTCTGGGAACTGAGAAGATAGTCACTCCAGTTACTTTCTGTGTTCTGTGGTCCAAATGAACCCGGGTTGAGAAAGGCTGCTCTAAGAGAAAAGATCAAAATTGTTCCCCAAGGCTTCTGGAGTCAGATTTGTGTTTTAGTGCAACACAGTGAAGATCCTAAGCCCTACTCTCCAGCTATATCCAGATCTCAGAGACCTTTACCTTTTCTGAACTGAACTTCACAATAAGAGCTGCAAGTACTTGTTCAGCAATCACTGTGCCAAGCACTTAGCATGCAGAGTCTAACTTCATAACACTCTTGAGAAGTAAGCAATAGTATAATAGCTTCCAATGCTTTTCAGATGAGAACTAAGACACAAAGGTGTTAAGCACTGTGTGCAAGTACACAGCCTTTTCTATTTGCTTATTATTTGATACACGTAGCAAAATTTGAACTCAAGCCTGATGCCAGAGTCCATATAAATACTATGCTTCGAATGTATTGCTTTTGCAATCAGAAAAATGCAATAAAATCTTGCTTATTTGGAAGAAAATGTCAGAAGAGACAAATGGGGGAAACAACACATTTTTACCTCATTTCTGTGTCTCACACATTTCTTATCTAGCTCCTATTCGGGAAGTAGTTTCAGCGATAAACCTACACTCCCAAGCAGGCCAATCCATATCAATTTGTTCAGTTAACATTTATTGAGCATTGACTGTCCCAGGTACTCATCAATGTGCTTGGGTATACAAACATACTGAAAGGTCCTATCCCCAAAGTGCCTGCAGTGTGAGAACTCCATAACCAAAGTCTGTACTGTCACAGGATGCTGGGATGAGGTGTGGCTAATGCTGGTCAGGAGGATTGCGGGAATGAATTAACAAAGTTTTGTAGGTAACATGAGTTTTCCATCTATAGGAAAAATGCTATTGCTACCGAAAGAACTGGGTCAAACACAAGCTCATGGGCAAAAGGTTTACAGAACACAAGGAATTGAGCATAATGGAAACAGTCATCCCATGCCTCACTACTGGACACATAAGCAGGAACCTTTTAGGCATGAAAAGGACCCCACCAGGAAGAGCACTCTGGCTGCCGTAGAGAGAATGGATTGGTGAAGGGACAGACAGTAAGAAGAGACCAGACTGAAAGCTGTTGCCTCTACATGGGAGGGACAAGTAGGGCCTGGACTAGAACACTGGCAGTAGATGTAGAAAAGGGGGTGGGGATTCAAAAACATTTCAAAGATTAAAGAAACACACTTTGATCTTGGAGAAAGGCAAGAAAAAGCTCATTTAACTCATGGGAATGAGAATGACTTCAGAGAAACGATCATCTGAAACACTGGCTCTGAACCTGTGAACTAAACAACCCGGTCTGAGAGCAGGAGAGTAGAGCTAAGAGTTATTTCAAGGAGTCTGAAAATGTGTATGGTCACCAAGCATCATTTATATACCAAATAATGCTTTGGCCATGCAAGTACTCCTGCTGTACAAACACTGTATATATACAGGTTGACATGATAAAAGCTCATTTATACAAGTTATTACTGCATTCGTAGTATCCTTTTGCCCATCTGTATCTTCTCAGACAAAACATGATAAGTCACTATTTTGCAAAAGGAAATCCTGGAAAGTTCGGGCTTTTCAAAAAGAAATTCTCAACATTGAAAAAACATAAAACTCTTAGTAACAAGTATCAGAAACTCAGATTGAACTAGCTCAGTAATGGAAGAACATGTATCTTCTGTAAAGAAAGGAGGAACTGAACAACCAAGCTGTGGAAAGAATGGACGGGGGTCTCAGTCACAGCTGAGTCTTGTAATATCACAGGAGGAGATAAAGGGATTTCTAAAATCCATGTTCAGCGATGTCATGATAGCAACTTGAAGGCAACTGTGGTGGGAATGTTGACACCATGGAAATCAGCAAACACTACAAATTAGGGCTTTTCTTTTCCCCCTGGAGAGCCAATTAAACATTTACCAGCAGTCACTGTAATACTCTGCAGAACCCCAGAATGGCTTAGGAATCAGAGATACCAATAATATCTGCAAATAAGGGTGTGGGTGGACTTTACAACAAGCAAATTCCACTCTCCCACGGTCCCCTCCCACACACATACACACACACACACTCCCATGTGTATGCATACAACCAGGTGACTCCTAATCCACCTCCCCAGCATAAGCCAGGAGTTTCCCTGAGGAGGCTAATTCAAAAGGCTGTGGACCCCAGGACTCAGGCATAGTGGAAGACAGGGCTATCTTACTGAAAACAAGAGAATCAGGTAAGAGACCTCACACTGAATCTCTGGATCTTCAGCCTCCTTCCCCAGTCAGCCGTAAGAACACTGGCAGCCAGGACTCTTCTAGCTGAGAAAACTGACCCAAAAGAAGAGATATAGGATTTCCGGGCAAGATGGCCAAATAGGAATTGCTCCGGTGCACAGCTCCGAGAGGGATCAATGCACAAGGCAGTTGATTTCCACATTTCCAGCTGAGGTACCTGATTCATCTCATTGGGACTGGTTGGACAGTGGGTACAGCCCAAGGAGGGTAAGCCGAAGCAGGCTGGGGCATCACCTCACCTGGGAAGTGCAAGGGGCTGGGGAAATCCCTCTCCTAGCCAAGGGAAGCCATGAGAGACTGTTTCCTGTACTCTGGCCCAGATACGGCACTTTTCCTGTGGTCTTCACAATCTGCAGACCAGACAATTCCCTCCTGTACCTATACAACCACCAGGGCCCTGGGTTTCCAGCACAAAACTGGGTGACTGTTTGGGCAGATACAGAGCTAGCCACATGAGGTTTGTTTTTTTTTTTTTCATACCCTAGTGGCACCTGGAACACCAGCAAGACAGAACTGTTCGCTTCCCTAGAAAGGGGGCTGAAGCCAAGGAGCCATGTGGCCTGGCTCGGCAGGTCACACTCCCATGAAGACTGGCAAGCTAAGATCCACTGGCTTGAAATTCTTGCAGCCAGCACAGCAGTCTAAGTTCAACCTGGGTCATTGGAGCTTGGTGGGGGGAGGGGCATCCACCACTGCTGAGACTTGAGTAGCCAGTTTCAACTTCACAGTGTAAGCAAAGTTGCTGGGAAATTCAAACTGGGTGGAGCACCACACAGCTCAGCAGCAGGCACTATCTCACTAGATGTCCTCACTGGGCAGGGCATCTCTGAAAAAAGGCAGCAGCCCATCAGGGACTTATAAATAACCCCCCACCTTCCTGGGACAGAACACCTGGGAAAGGGGCAGTAGTGGGTACAGCTTCAGGAGACCTAAACGTCCCTGACTGGCAGCTCTGAAGAGAGCAGCAGACCTCCCAATACAGTGTTTGAGCTCTGATAAGGAACAGACTGCTTCCTCAAGTGGCTCCCTGACTCCCATGTGTCCTGACTGGGAGACACCTCCCAGTAGGGGCTGACAGACACCTCATACAGAAGGGCTCTGGCTGGCATCTGGTAGGTACCATTCTGGGACAAAGCTACCAGAGGAAGGAACAGGCAACAATCTTTGCTGTTCTGCAGCCTCCGCTGGTGATTCTCAGGCAAGCAGGGTCTGGAGTGGACCTCCAGCAAACTCCAGCAGACCTGCAGCCGAGGGGCCTGACTGTTAGAAGGAAAGCTAACAAATACAAAGAAGTAGTTTCAAGATCATCAAAAAGGACATCCACTCAGAGACCCCATCCAAAGGTCACTGACCTCAAAGACCAAAGGTAGATAAATCCATGAAGATGGGAAGAAACCAGCACAAAAAGGCTGAACTCCAAAAACCAGAATGCCTCTTCTCTCTGAAGGGATCACAGCTCCTCACCAGCAAGGGAACAAAACTGGACAGATAATGAGTTTGACGAATTGACAGAAGCAGGCTTCAGAAAGGAGCATGTTCTAACCCAATGCAAGGAAACTAAGAACCTTGAAAAAAGGTTAGACAAAATGCTAACTAGAATAACCAGTTTAGAAAAGAACATACACAACCTGATGGAGCTGAAAAACACAGCACAAGAACTTCGTGAAGCATACACAAGTTTCAATAGCCAAGTTGATCAAGCAGAAGAAAGGATATCAGAGACTGAGGATCAACTCAATGAAATAAAGCAAGAAGACAAGATTAGAGAAAAAAGAGTGAAAAGAAATAAAGTCTCCAAGAAATATGGGATGATGTGAAAATACCAAATCTACGTT